GACTGGGGATGTGGCTCAGTGGTTAAGTGACCCTGGGTTCAATCCCTGGTACAAAAAAAAAGGATATAAGAGCTAGAGGTGTGACTCAGTGGTGGCCAGTTTCCAAGGCCCTGGGTTCCACCCCCAGTTTTCAGGGGTAACAAAAGTATTTGATAGTGTTTTAGGTGGAGATTACCAAAATGTATATAATTGTCAAAACTTATGGAATGGAACACTAACGATCTATATGCACATTATTGTATGTGAAATGTATCTATATTTATTCATCAAATAAAATAATAGTATGAATCTTAAAAAATCCATGAAATTGCCAACTTTTTTATTTTTTTGGCTGGGCTTGGTGGCCCATGCCTGTGGTCCCAGTTACTTGAAAGGCTGAGGCAGGAGGATCATTTGTACCCAGGTGTTTCAGACTAGTCAGGGCAACAGAGAGAGGCCCTGTCTCAAAATCATAACCAAAAAACTGTGTTTTTGGTGCTGGGGACTGAACCCAGTGCTTCACACAGGGAAGCCTGTGCCCTCGCCCCCGGGCTGCGCCCAGCGGCCTACATTTTGACCCTAGTTGCCATAACCGCTTGCTGGTCTTGTTCTGTGGGAGCTGAAACATCACAGCACATTGGAAACAAAACCCCATAGGCGCCAGACACCCCTTCCATGTCCCAGCATGCAGGAGTCCTCCGTGTCCCCAGATGGTTTGGTGGCTCGGGGCTGTGGGAGGCAGCTGCTCACCTGAACCTCCCGATCCGCCGTAGGTGGGAGAACATCTCCCCGCCAGGCACGTACTCCATGACCATGTACAAGTTCGAATTGTCCTGCGGGAGGCGAGCAGGTGAAGACCCCATTTCAGAGCCCTGGGCCCCTCTAACGGCCTCAGTGGCCTTACAGGACAGGTGTTAAAGACATAAAAGGACAACTCGGGCTCCCAGGGAAGAACACTCCAACCCCAGGTGCCCTCTCTGCTGAACCACGCCTTGCCACTCATCCTGCCGGGGAGGAAGAATGGACGGCCGTTACCCCGCCTGACAGAAGGTGGACATGGGGCCAGCTCATGGGTATAAGGGACCTGGGCAGTGTGCCCCCGCTTGAGGGAGAGGACTTAACTGGGAGCTTGAGTAACTTCCAGGGCTACAGTTGGACTAAACCAGGCGCAGAAATGCCTGCCTGTCATCCCAGCTACTCAGGAGGCTGAGGCAAGAGGACGGCAAGTTTGAGAACAGTCTTAGCCACTAAATGAGACTGTCTCCAAAAAAAAAAAAAAAAAAAGGGCTGGGCTGTAGCTCAGTGGCAGAGCGCCCCTGGGTTCATCCCCGACTACTGGGGAAAACAGAGACAAAGGACAGGCTACAGAATTTCCTCCCAATGAAAATGAGCTCGGCACAGTGGTGTGCACCTGCAGTCCCAGCCTCTAAGGAGGCCAAGACGGGAGGATCATCTGAGTTTGAGGCCAGGCTGGTCAACATAGCAAGGAACCATCTCTTAAAAAAAAAAAAAAAAGTGAGAATCCTTGTTTAAAAAATCTTATTACAAATTTCAAGAGGACAGCAACACAGGGTCACCCAGGCCCCTCTGAGCGTGGAACGTGTTACATGGCAAGCTCTTGTCACTGCTGGCTTGTGGTTCAGGACCACGAAGGTGGTGCTGAGTGCCCCTTCCAGAGTCCCGCAGCCACAGCTTCTGATGGCTCCCACAGTAACGCACAAAGGGCCTCGTTCTGGGCTCAAAACTGTCATGACAACCCCAGCGGGTGGGGACTGTTGCAGTTCCTATTTTATAGCTGAGAAAAATGAGGCTCAGGGGCACGAGGTCCCTTATGTGGGTCACGGTTGAGGAAGGACAGGGCTGGGAGATGGTCCCAGGCGGCCGAGGGTAGGTCTGTGCTCCTGACCGAGCACTGGGAGATGATCTGGAGGGACGGCTCCGAGTGGGTGACTTGCCCAAGGTCACTGAACTACAGTCGGCGAGCCCAGGAGCTGAGCTTGGGCCTACCAGAGCTCTGGCCTGGTCCTGTCCCCGTGTCCCTCCTCCAGAAATCTATCTTCCCCAGAAGTGGGCAGCCGCTAGATGCCCTGCTCCCTGGCCCTGGGAGGCTGTACTCAGTGGCTGGGACCAGTACAAGGACCTGGCTGGGGGCCCACCTTGAAGGAGAACTCGAGTTTGACCAGGAACGGGAAGGTGACTGCTTGCAAGATGCGCTTCTCATTCAGGGTGTGTTCGATCTGTTTCAGCTTCACCACCTGCGGGCAGAAGAGGTGGGTGGAGGAGCCGTGAGAGGGGCCTGGTGGCCGGGACGGTGGCACACACCTGTCGTCCCAGAGGCTCTGGAGGCTGAGCAGGAGGATCACGAGTTCAAAGCCAGCCTCAGCAACTTAGCAAGACCCTAAGCAACTCAGTGAGCCCCTGTCTCTAAATCAAATACAGAATAGGGCTGGGGAGGTGGCTCAGTGGTCGAGTGCCCCTGAGTTTAATCCCTGGTACCAAAAACAAACAGAGAGAAAGGAGCCTCATGCCCAGGCACCGGTCCCTGGGACTAGGGGAGCCAGAGCTGGGCTGCTTCCTTCAGCCAGGACCACTGGAGTGCCCGTGGCCTGCTAGGCCCCAGGCTGGGTGCTGAGGACACAGCAAGGAGGAGGCCAGAGGCTGCTTGTCCGCATGTGGCACACAGACCAGAGCAAAGAACACAGGAGTCACAGCCCCACGGCCTAGAGGGCTCCACTGTGTGTGGGAAGCTTGGGCCTGTGGATACCCAGATAAGGCCTCTGGTACAGTGTGAGGAGAGGGTGAATCAGAGAGGGCTTCCTGGAGGAAGGGGCAGCTTGGCTGGAACTGGAAAGATAGGCAGGCATGGCTGCAGGGGTGGGGAGTTTAGAAACGGCCCTCTCTTGGTTGAGAACGCCACTGCACATCAACCAGGACCTTGGGCTGATCCTCCTCGCCTTCAGCTGTTCCCTAACAGCACCCACCATGAGCAGCCATGAGCAGCCGTCTCAAGAACAGTTTCTCTCTCTCTCTCTTTTTTTTCATTTTTTTTTCTTTTTCTGTGGTGCTGGGGATGGACCCAGGGTCTTGTACATGCTAGCCACACATCCAGCCCCACAGTTTCTTGTTAAATCATGACAGAAGCCCAGAGAAGGTCGTGCTGGGAGCAGGGCAGTTTGGAAGCCCAGACAGGGAAAGGGACTTGTTCAATGTCACAGTTGGTCACTGTTAGGCCAGTGTGACACTCAGGCAGCCAGGCTCCTGGGTGAGCTGGGAAGGGCTTTGCTGAGGTGTCCCCCTCTTTGCCCACACAGCTGCGTCCTCAGGGCCCACATCTGTGCTGTCCAGTGCAGCTGCCGCTGGCCACGCACGGAGGGCTGATGAGCCCTTGAAATGTGGTCAGCTGACCAGGGAACCCAGTTTAAAATTTTGAGTATCTAAAATGACACTCGGTGTAGGTACTGGATGATTTCTCCCTTTTGCAGCCCTGGGACAGAACCCAGGGCCTCATGCATGCGACACAAGCCTGCGACCGCTGAGCTCCACTCCAGCCCTCGGGAGGACCTTTACGGACGTTCTGAACAACCTGGGCAGGAGAGTCTGGTCTTTCCATGGAGAACTGACCATCTGAATGAAGACCTGCTCTAAGTGTGAAATACACAGCAGACCTAAAGACAATTTACTGAGGGACAGAAAATGAAAGTGTCTCATTAACATTTTACATGGATAGCATATGGAAATGGGCTGGGGTCGTGGCTCAGTGGTAGCGCGCTCGCCTGGCATGCGTGAGGCACTGGGTTCGATCCTCAGCACCACATAAAAATAAAGATATTGTGTTCACCTGCACCAAAAAAATAAATATTAAAAAATATGGAAATGATAATACTGTAGATCTACTGGCTTAATTACAACATGTGGCCCAAATGACTCTGAGGGGCGAGGGGCGTGGCTCAGTGGTAGAGCCCTTGAGTAGGACACTGAGCTCCAGTACTGAAAGGAAAACAAACCGCAGGGCCTAGTAGCACGTGCCTGTAATCCCACAACCCTGGAGGCGAGGCAGAAGGATTGCAAGTTTGAGGCCAGCCTCAACAATTTAGCAAGGCCCTAAGCAACTCAGTGAGACCCCATCTCAAAATAAAAAAACTGAAAGGGCTGGGAATGTGGCTCAGTGGTAAAGCGTCACAGGGCTCAACACCCTTGTATCGTCCCCCCACCCCACATCACCTGTTCCTTTGTACTTTTTTTGATGGGCAACTAGAAAAGACAAAATCTCCTCTGTGCTTTTTATTACATTTCTGTTACATAGTGCTGTGTGACAGCAGTGCCTTACATCAAGTAGCATCTCAAAGATCTTATGGAAAGACCACTTTCTTGCTGGGTGCAGTGGCGCACGCCTGTAATCTCAGCAGCTCGGGAGGCTGAGACAGGAGGATCTCGGGTTCATAGCCAGCCTCAACAATGGCACTAAGTGGTGAGGCACTAAGCAACTTAGTGAGGCCTTGTCTCTAAATAAAATGCAAAGGAGGGCTGGGGTGTGGCTCAGTGGTCAAGTGTCGCTGGGTTCAATCCCTGATATCAAACAAAAACAAAACAAAACTACATTTTCCAGGAAGAGTGCTCTCCTCTACACAGCCTGGGTATATCCTGTGTCACAGGTGGCCAGTCTTGGGGGCTGGCCTGGTGAAAGCCGTGCAGGCCTCTCCTAGTCCTTAGGCCTCGCATGGCAAGGGGGCTCAGGGAGAACAGTCACCCCTGTGTCCACAGGGCGGTGGTTCCAGGATCCTCTACAGATACCAAAAATCTGCAAATGTTCAAGTCCCTTGCGTAAAATGGCACAGTACAGAACTTTGGCACATCCCCCCATAGACTTATTTTTCTGTGATCCTGGATGGAACCCAGGGCCTGGAGCATGTTGGCCAAATGCTTTCCTACTGAGCTCCACCCTCAGCCTGTAGACTTTTAAGTCATCTTTAGATCACTTACAATACCTAATAAAATATCTATGTGTCACTTCATTCATGGGGATTCAGTGTAGCACTTTGCATGGGGGAAGTTAAAAGTTTTGGGGCTGTGGAGATAGCTCAGTTGGTAGAGGGCTTGCCTCGCATGCACAAGGCTCTGGGTTCAATGGCCAGCATGACACACACACTCACAAAAGGGGTC